AGAGGTTAGAATAGAAATGGTGATCCGTATAGTAATAGATGATAGAATAGAAATGGTGATCCGTATAGTAATAGATGATAGAATAGAAAAGGTGATCCGTATAGTAATAGATGATAGTATAGAAATTGTGATCCGTATAGTAATAGAGGTTAGAATAGAAATGGTGATCCGTATAGTAATAGAGGTAAGAATAGAAATGGTGACCCGTATAGTAATAGAGGTAAGAATAGAAATGGTGATCCGTATAGTAATAAACGATAGAATAGAAATGGTGATCCGTATAATAATAGATGATAGAATAGAAATGGTGATCCGTATAGTAATAGAGGATAGAATAGAAATGGTGATCCCTATAATAATAGAGGGTAGAATAGAAATGGTGATCCGTATAGTAATAGAGGATAGAATAGAAATGGTGATCCGTATATAATAGATGATAGAATAGAAATGGTGATCTGTATAGTAATAGTGGTTAGAATAGAAATGGTGATCCGTATAGTAATAGGGGGTAGAATAGAAATGGTGATCCGTATAGTAATTGAGGATAGAATAGAAATGGTGATCCGTATAGTAATAGAGATTAGAATAGAAATGGTGATCCGTATAGTAATAGATGATAGAATAGAAATGGTGATCCGTATAGTAATAGATGATAGAATAGAAATGGTGATCCGTATAGTAATAGAGGTAAGAATAGAAATGGTGACCCGTATAGTAATAGAGGTAAGAATAGAAATGGTGATCCGTATAGTAATAAACGATAGAATAGAAATGGTGATCCGTATAATAATAGATGATAGAATAGAAATGGTGATCCGTATAGTAATAGAGGATAGAATAGAAATGGTGATCCCTATAATAATAGAGGGTAGAATAGAAATGGTGATCCGTATAGTAATAGAGGATAGAATAGAAATGGTGATCCGTATAGTAATAGTGGTTAGAATAGAAATGGTGATCCGTATAGTAATAGGGGGTAGAATAGAAATGGTGATCCGTATACTAATTGAGGATAGAATAGAAATAGTGATCCGTATAGTAATAGAGGTTAGAATAGAAATGGTGATCCGTATAGTAATAGATGATAGAATAGAAATGGTGATCCGTATAGTAATAGAGGTAAGAATAGAAATGGTGATCCGTATAGTAATAGCGGATAGAAGAGAAATGGTGATCCGTATTGTAATAGAGGTTAGAATAGAAATGGTGATCCGTATAGTAATAGAGGTAAGAATAGAAATGGTGATCCGTATAGTAATAGAGGGTAGAAGTGAAATGGTGATCCGTATAGTAATTGAGGATAGAATAGAAATGGTGATCCGTATAGTAATAGAGGATAGAAGAGAAATGGTGATCCGTATAGTAATAGAGGTAAGAATAGAAATGGTGATCCGTATAGTAATAGATGATAGAATAGAAATGGTGATCCGTATAGTAATAGATGATAGAATAGAAATGGTGATCCGTATAGTAATAGAGGTAAGAATAGAAATGGTGATCCGTATAGTAATAGAGGATGTAAAAGAAATGGTGATCCGTATAGTAATAGAGTGTAGAATAGAAATGGTGATCCGTATAGTAATAGAGGTTAGAATAGAAATGGTGATCCGTATAGTAATAGAGGTTAGAATAGAAATGGTGATCCGTATAGTAATAGATGATAGAATAGAAATGGTGATTCGTATAGTAATAGATGACAGAATAGAAATGGTGATCCGTATAGTAATAGATGACAGAATAGAAATGGTGATCCGTATAGTAATAGACGATAGAATAGAAATGGTGATCCGTATAATAATATATGATCGAATAGAAATGGTGATCCGTATAGTAATAGATGATAGAATAGAAATGGTGATCCGTATAGTAATAGATGATAGAATAGAAATGGTGATCCGTATAGTAATAGAGGATAGAAGAGAAATGCTAATCCGTATTGTAATAGAGGATAGAATAGAAATGGTGATCCGTATAGTAATAGAGGATAGAATAGAAATGGTGATCCGTATAGTAATAGAGGTAAGAATAGAAATGGTGATCCGTATAGTAATAGACGATAGAATAGAAATGGTGATCCGTATAATAATATATGATCGAATAGAAATGGTGATCCGTATAGTAATAGATGATAGAATAGAAATGGTGATCCGTATAGTAATAGATGATAGAATAGAAATGGTGATCCGTATAGTAATAGAGGATAGAACAGAAATCGTGATCCGTATAGTAATAGAGGTAAGAATAGAAATGGTGATCCGTATAGTAATAGAGGATGTAAGAGAAATGGTGATCCGTATAGTAATAGAGGGTAGAATAGAAATGGTGATCCGTATAGTAATAGAGGTTAGAATAGAAATGGTGATCCGTATAGTAATAGATGATAGAATAGAAATGGTGATTCGTATAGTAATAGATGACAGAATAGAAATGGTGATCCGTATAGTAATAGAGGTAAGAATAGAAATGGTGATCCGTATAGTAATAGACGATAGAATAGAAATGGTGATCCGTATAATAATATATGATCGAATAGAAATGGTGATCCGTATAGTAGTAGATGATAGAATAGAAATGGTGATCCGTATAGTAATAGATGATAGAATAGAAATGGTGATCCGTATAGTAATAGAGGATAGAAGAGAAATGCTAATCCGTATTGCAATAGAGGATAGAATAGAAATGGTGATCCGTATAGTAATAGAGGTAAGAATAGAAATGGTGATCCGTATAGTAATAGAGGGTAGAAGAGAAATGGTGATCCGTATAGTAATAGATGTAAGAATAGAAATGGTGATCCGTATAGTAATAGAGGTAAGAATAGAAATGGTGATCCGTATAGTAATAGATGATAGTATAGAAATGGTGATCCACATATTAATAGAGGATAGAAGAGAAATGGTGATCCGTATCGTAATAGAGGATAGAATATAAATGGTGATCCGTATAGTAATAGAGGTAAGAATAGAAACGGTGATCCGTATAGTAATAGAGGATAGAATAGAAATGGTGATCCGTATAGTAATAGATGATAGAATAGAAATGGTGATCCGTATAGTAATAGATGATAGAATAGAAATGGTGATCCGTATAGTAATAGAGGATAGAATAGAAATGGTGGCTTGTGTTCAAACTCCAGTGTCGACAGCCACACTTTATTCCTATATAACAGAATTTATTTTAGAAATGTTATTTTTTTTAGAATATCTTGGTAAAAATATTTTCATCTACCCCCCACTTTATTTAATTTTTTGAAATTTCGAAAAATTAATATTTGACCCGCTTAATGTTTACATTAGTTATACACAAAACTCCTTGGAGAATTTAAATCATCAATTACTTTTTTGTAAAATGTGAACCCCAGTTACCGCTCAGAACCTTAAAATATAAAATGCAATCAAGCTATGACATTATTTAATTAGAAAAGTCTTTAATTGTTTTTTTAATGAATAGGATATATTATGGACATTATTGTCTGAAGAAAAAAAATTTCGACTAATAATGAATTTTTACAAGAATTGTTTTCCTTTTTTAAAACATTTAAGAATAATTTATAAAGTTTTAAATATTTCAATTTTCTGTCTTGTCCCAATTAGGTGATATTGTTATTAAATAAAAACTATATCATAAATGGAAAAAGCTTATTATAATTTAGCGACCCCCAATATTTTAAAAAGAATTATGATTTTTTTTGTACGCGTATAAACCTGCCGATTTGTGTAAAGGCAGACGTCTATACACGACATTATCAGAAAATAAGTGCTATAACTATAGTAAATTTAAAGCTAAAGTACCTAAAAATCAATCAAATGTTAGATTATGTAGAATATTTTCCTAAATTTTTAAGATTACTGGGTAGTTCAAAATTATATAAAACGGCGCTCACGTTATATTCCTCACGTAATGTTTACAAACATATCCACCGTCTGTCAGTTATTCTTTCATCCTGTCAATATCTTAAATAAACAGCTACTGCCGTGTTAAAAAATGCACTTCTGCAATATTGTATAAAGTTTCAAATAAGTATATTTTATTTTTGAAAGATTTTTTTTAATAAAGAGAATTACATTGTGATGACGGATGGCTAAAAATGGCGCTAAAATCAGCGGTTTTAGCAATTTGAATACAAAAACACCTTCTAATCAATTTAAATTAGTTTTGAAATACAGACATTTTGCTTGTTGGGAATATTAAGTTTAATCTATTAACTTGAAATTAAAACTAAAATAAGGGTTTCCCCATCTTTAAAAATTCATATTAAACGTTAGGTATTGCGTATCTGTGATGGTAGTTATTATAATCTTGGTATTACAAATTTGTCAAATACCCGAATGGAGAGACTGCTATGAATGTAAGAAGATTTCGTTGCGTCAATCTCATTTTTCCCTTTCTCCTTTTCTCTTTCTCTTTATCTGCCTTTTTCTCCCCGCTCTCTTTCTCTCTCTCTCTGTGTGTGTGTGTGTGTGTGTGTGTGTGTGTGTGTGTGAGAGAGAGAGAGAGAGAGAGAGAGATTTGAAAATGAGTTAAATTCTTAATATTTCAATGATTGTTTTAAATCCTCGTTGGAAAATGATAAAAGTGCTTCCGTTTGCCTATTAAAATTTGGCAGTGAATAGAATCTAAAATATATTCAGTACTCGAGACCTTCAACAATCTCTCTTCTTATTTGTTCAATTCTTTAACAAAAAATAGGAGACTGAAATATTTCAGAGGCAGTGTGCGCAGTGGTTGAGAAAGCTGATAGCTGAAAGTTGATAACATGATTGGCCGTCGCAGCTTATAATTTCTAAGGCCTACTAGGACGTTTGGCGCCACACGTAGCCGGGTGCATGTCGGAGATGGCGGGGTAAGAACTTTTTAGTTGTCGTATTATCCAGTCAGGAACACACGCATTTCCCCTGCCACTTCAGCCGCCATCTTGTCTTTACGGACGCCTATCTATTCTTCTGTTTAAAAAGCTAATGACAAAATTACTGTCGCTCAAAAGGAAAGCAAGCCAGCTATCAAAAAAGAAAGAAAGAAACTACAATAGTAAGGAAGGAAAGAGATGAATAAAATATAAATGAAAACAAGAAAAAAAAGAAAAAAGAAAGATGGTCAGAAAAAAAGAGAAAAAAAACGAAGAAAAGAGAAAGCAAGAAAAGAATAAAGAATAGAATATAATCAAGGAAGCAAACATTAAAAGGAATGAAAAGACAGAGAAACTATAAAGATGACAGAAAAGGAAAAAATGATGAGTAAACTTAAATAAAAGAAGAAAAGGAGAGAGAAATAAAGAAAACAGGAATGGATGAAGGAAGGAAAATGTCGATCGAATTTAACTGTAAGAAAGGAAAGTAAGCAGCAAAGGAAAAAAAACAAATGAAAAGGAAAGAAAGACTAAATTTAAGAATGAAAGAAAGAAAGAAAGAAAGAAAAAAAGCTGGAGGGAAAAAAGGTGATCGAAATTAACTAAAAGAAGTGGGGAAACAGGTATCAATAAAGAGACAAAACAAAATTTAAAAAAATAAAATAAAAAAGGACAACAAATACGAAAGAAAGAAAAAAGTAAGTAAATAAGATGAAGTAAAAAAAAAATCAATCTAAATTAAAGTAGAAAGGAGATTAAGCAGCTACCAAGAAGTGACGAAAAAGAACGAAAACAAGAATGAAAGAAAGGAAGTACGAAAGAGTGAAAGAGAGACAAAAGACGATCAAACTTAAAAAAAAAGACAGAAAAACAAGTAGGAATGAAAAAAAAATAATAATAAAAAAACAGTAAAGAAGAAGGAAAGAATGTAAACAAGAAAGAAACCATCACATTCACACACTTGCAGATTTTCAAATTTGTCTTTATTTTCTTTCATTTTCCTCCATTTTATGTTTCTAGTCCTTGTCAGAACATAAAGGGCGAAATACTTTTTACGTTGCTAAAAACAGGTTAGAAAAACATTGGAATGGTTAAGTAGATGTATCCAGACACTGCTGTTGTCATTAATAATGGTTTGTATTTGTTAATAATATTGTCTGCGGAAATCTCCAAGGCTGTTTGCCTTTTGGTATTAAAGGTGGAAGTACAATGAATGGGGAGGAGAATAAACGTAGAAAAATAAAATGAGAGAGAGAGAGAGAGAGAGAGAGAGAGAGAGAGAGAGAAGGAAAGGTAATTGATGATTTACTTAAAGATTAATTTGTAGTGTCGTTCTTTTATAAAAAATAGAATTAAGAGTGGATTTTTAAGATGCAGGCACATCAGATCTCCGTTTATGTGTGTGCGTGTATGTGTGTTTACTAATATGTGTATGCATATTTTTGCGCGATTGTGGCAGTGTATGTTTAAGAGAATGAATTTGTATGTGTGTGCAAGCGAATGTGTGTAATTGTGTATAAATGCACTCGCAAGAATGAAAACGTGTGCTTGAATACAAATAGGACATCAGAAAATAAGAAGTTAGGGGAGTAAATCAAATATTAAAAATGGTGGAGAGACGTGAGTCTAAATCAGATATTAAATTTTAATATCTGATTTAGACTCATAGTCCCCACTTTGAATGCTTTTAATATCTGATTTAGACCCATAGTCCCCACTTTGAATGCTTTTAATATCTGATTTAGCCTCATAGTCCCCACATTGAATGCTTTTAATATCTGATTTAGACTCATAGTCCCCACTTTGAATGTTTTAATATCTGATTTAGCCTCATAGTCCCCACTTTGAATGCTTTTAATATCTGATTTAGACCCATAGTCCCCACTTTGAATGCTTTTAATATCTGATTTAGACCCATAGTCCCCACTTTGAATGCTTTTAATATCTGATTTAGACTCATAGTCCCCACTTTGAATGCTTTTAATATCTGATTTAGACTCATAGTCCCCACTTTGAATGCTTTTAATATCTGATTTAGACTCATAGTCCCCACTTTGAATGCTTTTAATATCTGATTTAGACTCATAGTCCCCACTTTGAATGCTTTTAATATCTGATTTAGCCTCATAGTCCCCACTTTGAATGCTTTTAATATCTGATTTAGACTCATAGTCCCCACTTTGAATGCTTTTAATATCTGATTTAGACTCATAGTCCCCACTTTGAATGTTTTAATATCTGATTTAGACTCATAGTCCCCACTTTGAATGCTTTTAATATCTGATTTAGCCTCATAGTCCCCACTTTGAATGCTTTTAATATCTGATTTAGCCTCATAGTCCCCACTTTGAATGCTTTTAATATCTGATTTAGACTCATAGTCCCCCATTGAATGCTTTTAATATCTGATTTAGACTCATAGTCCCCACTTTGAATGCTTTTAATATCTGATTTAGACTCATAGTCCCCACTTTGAATTTTTTTAATATCTGATTTAGACTCATAGTCCCCACTTTGAATGCTTTTAATATCTGATTTAGCCTCATAGTCCCCACTTTGAATGCTTTTAATATCTGATTTAGACTCATAGCCCCCACTTTGAATGCTTTTAATTAAAAGCATTCAAAGTGGGGGCTATGAGGCTAAATCAGATATTAAAAGCATTAAAAATGGGGGGTTATGTGGCTAAATCAAATATTAAAGTGTGGACCGTGAGGCTAAATCAGATATTAAAAGTCGGGGTTTTGAGTCTAAATCAGATATTAAAGGCATTAAAAGTGGGAGTTGTGTGGCTAAACCAGATATTGAAATTGTGGGTTGTGAGGCTAAATCAGATATTAAAAGTCGGGGTTGTGAGGATAAATCAAATATTACAAGTGGGGGTTGTGAGGCTAAATCGAATATTAAAATCATTAAAAGTGGGGATTGTGTGGCTAAACCAGATATTAAAATTGGGTTTTTTTTTTATGGTAAAGTTCCCTCCTGTACAAGGCTCGGGGCCACTCGACGTAGAAGTTGGGGGTTACATTAGGAGGCAGTTTGTACGGACAGGAGTAGTAGATAACGGTTAACCCTAGACTTGAACAGGTTAGAATTGTAGTGATCGGGGAAACATCCTCTTGGGAATCGGTTCCACAGAACAATGGTTCGTGGGAAGAAGCTGTTCGAGTGGAAATTACTTCTCACTCATGGAAAAATGGAGGGGATGTGGGGGGTTTGCTTTATAATGAATTAAGATGGTAGTTTGCGAATTTGGTAGCATAGTAATTATGAGTTCAATCCCTAGTCCCAGTAGTATAGACTTAGACTTAATGATAACCGGATAAGCAATGTCTGAGCTGCTGTAAAAATAAAAGAATAAGACGATTTACATCCCTAAACATGGAGACCGGAAGGAGGATAATCTACTTCCGTAGATTAAATAATGGGTTCATTTCTAAATTGCAACTGGATCAATAGATATTTGATAAAGACTTAAGGGTACAAAAGGCGAAACGTTAGTAACAAGAAAAGCCGGACGAAAATAATATCTCACCCAAGAAATTCGGAGAAAATAAAGATTTATTTATTTAAATTAAAAAAAAAGTATTGTATTCTGGAAAAGATCTGATATTACGTATATACAGTGTAACCCGGATATAAGAGAAACCCGGATATGAGAGAAACCCGGATATAAGAGAGATTTTCTCTGGTCCCAAATTAGAGCCTGTGTTAATGTATATAAAATAGACCAAGCCGGATATAAGAGAAACCCGAATATAAGAGACTTCATCTCCGGTCCCGACAACTCTCTTATATCCGGGTTACACTGTACTAGAAAAACTTACTATGTACAATGTTCTATGCATATTAGTATAAATTAGAACATGATTCTATCTACAATAAATGGGGTAGGTGGTGAGAATCGAACCTACGAGTAATTGTTTACTAAATGAGTTAAACACGGCCTAATGATATATACCCTAAATACAGGGTGCGGCACAAATAGCTCAAACATATCATTCAGTTATATGCCATGCGTGATACACGCTTAGGCGATCATGTATCTTTCGATACAAGACTGACGACGCAGATTTTTTTCCCGCAGTAGGTTGGCATTTCTTTCTGCGATAGACTAGTTGCCATCCAACGCTATAGAACCCGGTCTGTCCTGCTATTTACCTATAGCAGGGCGGAGGAAGAAGAAGAGGATTCATACCTTTCCCAAGGGTATTAACAGGTACGTGAATGTAATGGATTCGACTGGAATTTGAACTCGCACATATACCTCCCAGAAATACCTTCCACACAATGGTTTGACATTTGTGGCAATATTGTGTTCAACTAGTAAAGGCCTTACCATTATGTGGGAGGTATATGTGGGAGATATTTTTGCCGCACCGTGCATAAATTTATATGATTCTGTGACGTCAAAGGAAAAAAAAAGATTTCTTTTCGAGAAGTGAACATTTAATTACATATCAAATTTAACGAAAAGGTCTTTAAAATAGATCTTCACAAAATTGAAGCTACTGAACTTTCTCTTCCTCTCTCACACATGCACTCAACTACAAATGCTCTTTTTCGCTTTCTTTCTCTCTCCTCCCCTTTCACAATCACTGAACTGGCGTTAAACACTTCTATCTTACTTTTTTGCAATTTTCTTTCTTTCATTTTTGTGTTTCTTTATGTCTTTTCCAACTTTCCATGCGATCAAAACGGAATATTCCATTATTTATGAGGTACTGGCAGAGGGTAACGGTCCTGCTAACTAAGGGAGAGACATGAAGAATTATAAGATAATCACAAAGTATAAAAAAAATCTAATCACGAGATTTTAATAATTGTATTATGCATATTGCTAGGAAAACTAGATCTAAAAAATTTACAATAATCCAGAACGTATACGGGGGGACCAAACCGCTTGCATACGAATAAAAAAACGAATAGCTGCACAAAAAAATAGAAAGGCGCATAAGACAAGGGTATGCCTTCTCGCCAGATCTATTCAGCCTCTACAGCAACGCTATCCCAAGAGAACTGGACATCCTACCAGGATGTATTATCAGTGGGCGTAACCTTAACAATATAAGATACGCAGATGACACTGTGTTGATGACGGACACAGAAAGAAAACTACAGGATATTCTAGACAGGTTTGTAAAAGAAAGCAAGAAGAAAGGACTAACTATGAACTAGAAGACGGCAGAAAGTGTAGTCACTAGCAAGAGAAAAGGCCCAAGATGCGACTTACAAATTGGAGATATCAACATCAAGCAGGTGCAGAAATTTAAATATCTGGGAAGTCTTTTAACAGAAGATGGAAAATGCGACACCGAGATCCAAACACGGATTGTAATTAGCGAAAGAAACATTGCAGAAGGCAAGTAAGATGCCGAGAAACAGAAAAATTCCGTTAGAAACAAAGAAAACAGTTCCAGATGGCTATGTGAACCCACCCTCTTATATGGCAGTGAATGTTGGTCAATTTCGTCACGGAAAAAAAAAAACTAGTAACAGCAGACACGTGTTTCTACAGAAGGATACGGAAAATTCCATGAACTAAGCGAATAAGCAACAAATGAAAAGAAAAAAAAAGAAGAAAAATGGCAACGGAAAGAACATATCTAGTCAGAATCAGGAAGAGATAACTGAAATTCTTTGGATGCATAATGAGAATAGAGGGCATGGAAAACTGTTATATACCGTACCTATGAACACTAATGAGTATGTCTCAATCCTCATAAATACGTTGGACACTACTGTAAGCGGGGGTAGTATGCTGTCTCTGCTGAGCTGTCAGCGTAGGAAGCACTTGCCGTGTCGAACTCGTTGCCTTCAAGCAGAGAGGAACCCGGACGAGGCTATGCCGAAGGGCAGAGTCTCGTCCGGGGCGGTAGACATCCCTGATCCCGCGCATGTGGGGTCTACAGGCAATTTTTCCTCGAGGCCACGGGCTCGGAATTTCCAACATTAAATTTGGCTTTATGCCACATCCTACCTCGTGGGAAGGCAGGTAAATATCGTAATATGTTGTCTAAGTAGTCCACCACTAGCAGTGGTTTACCTACTTCACGCCGCTGGCGAGCATTGTATTTTGTTGATGTTATAAAGATTACCATTTCATTTCCAACCCCCGTTTTGGTTATTCGTCATTCAGTAACCTTTTCTAGGTTACAACAAAAACTTACCTCTTAATCGGTATATTGAAGGCAAGAGAGATAAGGGAAGACAGTTATGTGACGAGCTTGTGCGAATGTATGGTGGAACGGGAGGAGTGAAACCTTAGTAAAGGGAGAAAACTGTTAAGCGCCACTAAGGATAGGAAGCTGTGGAGGTCGCCAAGGTCATGAAGGGACGTGGCATATGGAAGAAGATAATGGATATCAATATTTCTGTTTCTGCTTATTTTTTTTAATGATTTAAGATTGGTCATGAGTTAAGATCAACAAATCTTTGTTCTCCTGTTTTCTCCATCCTCTTTTACTTTTTTTTAATGAAAAATCGATTAAAAATCGAATTTAGTTTTTGTGTAATGATGTCTTTTCAAAAACTCTATCGAGTTTTAGGTAATTTCAGTATTAAGCTTTTATGAGAAAATCGATGCAACACACACACGCACACGTACAGCACATGGTCACAAGTCATCGTGACCGAGGGTTTCAGAATACTGGCCTTGTTCAAAAAATTGATCACGCTAGATTATGTGCTCTCTTCCAGAAAACCGTAGCAAAGGACTTGTCACTATAGTTGTATCATATGCTACAACGGACTGTGTGGGTTGAGCGGTTATCTATAATAGAGATTTTCTAGCCGTCCTGCACAAGATCAGCAACGAGTAGCCAGCCATTACACACACACACACACACACACACACACACACACACACACACACACATATATATATATATATATATATATATATATATATATGTATTTTAAATAAAAACAGACCACTTTAAGGTTCCATGTAATAAATTATTTCACCAGAACCCTTTTAAAGGACTGCGGATCATCAGACTTTACTTCCAAAGGTTGCAACCTTTGGAAGTAAAGTCTGATGATTCGCAGTTTTTTAAAAGGGCTGTGGTGAAGTACTTTATTACATGGAACCTTAAAGTGGTCTGTGTTTATTTAAATTATTTGCTCTGGATTTACACTGAGCTCTCTGGATTTTATCCTCCTTGGGTCTACCCATACGGATTACCTAGTTTTCCATGAACTATATATATATATATATATATATATATATATATATATATATATATATATATATATATATATATATATATATATATCTGTGTGTGAGTATGTAATTTATTTTCAGATAGAGTGTATCTGTAAAGGAACAAAATGAATAAAAAGACAAGCGGAACAATTTTTCTTAACCGACGCGTTTCGTCCCCCTAGGGACTTCATCAAGGCAAATGTAAAGGTTTGTTTTGTTGCACGTGTTCATATACAAAAGCAAGGATGCCATTGGTCTCTCAGGGCTTGGACATTCCCATATTTTAAAGCCTTGACTGTCCAATGACATCCTTGCTCTTTTATATGAACACATGCAACAAAACAAACCTTTACAGTTGTATTGATAAAGTCTCTCGAAGGGCGAAACGCATCGGCTAAGAACAGTTGTTTCTCTTGTCTTTTACTGACATACACACACACACACACACACACACACACACACACATATATATATGTATTTATATATATATATAATGTTTATATATATATAATTTTTTTATATATATATTTGTGTGTGTACATATGTACGTACATACGTATTTATGTATGTATGCATGTATCAATAGTATTTCTGTTTTGGAATCTAGAATATATGTTAAGCAGAAATGACTTTTTCAGCTACTCCTCTGATTTTCTCAGGCACTTCGAAGATAATAAAAAAAGGAAGTTGTGGAGAATCCTGATCGTCTCTTTTCTGAAGGGAAATGTTATTTTAAGAAATATGATTTTAATTTCTTTCTTTATCTCTATTTAAATTCAAATTCACAGTAAAGGAATAAATACTAATTACACCTACAATTTTAGGGGAAATCGTTTACTTGCAGTAGAATGTTAAAAAAAAAATAGTTGAAACAACTTCTATCTTCTATTTTGGGGCGGGATTTAAGACAGAGCTAAAAAATCTAAACACTTCCGCCATTTTGAAGAATAAAGGAAGTAAATAAAAACGTGAAATTAAATTTACAAAAGAAATCCTTTCAAATAGGAAAATAGAAATATAGGCGCAAAAATCAAATAAATTGGTTTCTTACTCTTCAATAGGCAAATAATGACAAAATTATACTCTAAGTGGTTTGACGAAACAAGACTAAAGTGAGATGTTTCAATCATTTGGAGTTAATAGATGTCATCCTTATGAAACAGAACAATCACTCTTTTAAATGACTCATGTCCAATTTAATAGACAAATCAATTGTTCTTAATATAAACAACACTGCGTCACTATTTGTTCTAATTTCTTTCAAACAGTTCGTAATATGTTGTTATCTACGAAGCTGAGTTTGTCATAAGGCCACAAAAGTATTGGGTATCCAGTGAGGATCGAGCAGTCTAGCTAATTAGCGACGATCGGACATTCCAACTAATTAGCCGCTATTTAAACCCGATATTCCCACTTCGTAAGTTTGCTTTTCGTTGGTTTCCAACAATGGCCATGAACGGTAGAAGCAAAATAATATTATAACAAGGGGATACTAAAAAGTTCTCAGCAAGACCATGAAAAAAAATTAAAGACAAAAAAAAATGTTTGATTAATGGGTCAGATTTTAGGAAGTGGGTTGGACAGGGAACTCATCAGTGTCCCCCTCGTAAGACACTTGTTGCTGTTGTTTTAATATTGCTTTTTCTTTCTTTCTTTTTTTTTTAAGCATTTCACCCCTAGCAAGGCGGGAAGCCACTAGCACACAAGCGGTTACAGAGAATTTGGAGCGAGAGCAGATAGGAATGATAAAGGAGAGGATGACGAGAAGGATAGGGGATAGATCAAGGCAACTGGAGATATCAATTGACATTACATTTGAATAGTTGGAGATTAAAGCTATCAGGGAAACAAGAGTAGGGAAAGTAGTTCCACGGGCGAGAGGTGCGAGACAAGAAGCTATTGGAGTAGAAGAGGCGACTACATTTAACAGTTTCAACAGTGAAAGGGTGAGAGCGGGATGCCAGCCTCGTAGGACGCTTGAATTCGCGAAGTCTTGGAATCAGCTAAAGCAGCTCATCGGAGCAATTACCATGAAAGTATTTGTAAAAAAGACAGAGAGAGGCGACGGCACGTCTGTAAGAGAGCGACTACAGACGAGATGCCAGATCGGGGCCAATTATATTGCATATCCGTCTCTGGATCTTATCAAGAACCCCGAGGCAAACAGAAGGGGCTCTAGACGATATATGGCAGCAATACTCCATGCAAGGGCGAATGGTTGATTTGTGCTTACCCAATACAAAGTCCATGATGCCACACGATGTAGAGGGTTACTAAATGAGGTTGATATGTAGGATAGAATAAGGGCAATACAGTGGGGAGCGCAAAAGGTGCATATTATGAAGATATTTAGGATAGAATTTACAATAGAAAAAGGGCACACATTGAGGGGCAAAAAGGT